CTCCACCTCTATGGCATAATGCACAATAATACCAAATTCACTTACTATGTGCATGTCAATTATACCAAACAATCTCAATGTGTATACAATAGGCATTTTTATCAAATTCATATAGCTTTAATTTATCAGAAGTATCCATCGTTACTCATAGATCAATTATCACATAGCAGTACATTGTGCATTTCATACCCTAAATATTTCATTTTCACATAACATGAATATATTATAAAAACATCATGAATCACTTTTCTTTTCAGCATATAAGCATCATATCAATCATATGATTAACATCATAATCATCACAACAATATAATAGAGTGAGCTCAATTTGAACATTTAAAATAGCATATAACCTAAAAATAACATAAAATGCATGATTTATCATAATTTCATATTCTGGGTGTTTGTGCTACTCGTAAATATTTAATATTTTGTATTAAACCACACAATTGAAATTTATTCCGTTTATTCCATTAGAAACTAAACTTGAATACGAATATAACCATATAAATTACTCTTTCTAGTTCAACTCATACAATTTATGGTGAATTTCCTAATCTAGCTTGCAGAATCTATTTTGAGTAGAATCTGTTGTCCTGGTTTCTAACCTATCATCGATTAAAAGTTTATATTTTCTAACATAAAGCTCAGAATCAATTTCTATCAATTTTACATGTTTTTCTTCCTCTTTTTTTCAAAAGGTAAAAGGTTTGACGAAGAAGTTTTGAAAATGCTTTACGAAAGAATTTTTTTAAATAATGAAAGGGTTTTGAAAAATGTTTGATGAATGAATTTTGATAAATGATTGATGAAGTTTTTGAAAAAAAAATGACCCTTACTTTGGGCTCACAATTTAATCAAATTATAAAACAAAAGTTCATTGAGTATCAAAAGAATCAATTACTCTTTTAATTTTTCAAACTTATGAGTTTCGACAAGTGTCAAGATTTGGCTGGTTGATTTTAGGTTGACTTCCTAAATTCTATGGTTTCTGTCATTGAGTTGCCTTATTTATCTTTGTCCATGTGAACATTGTGACATGCTCTTTTTTTCGCGGCTTGGCATTTTAGTCAAATGAGGACAAAATGATGCAACTAGCTTACTCAATTGCTAGACCTTTTAGAACACTTCTATTTTTCGTTTTGTGAAATCTTTCATTTGTTCAAGATTCTTAGACTCTTTTAGTAAAGGCAATGTAGAAATATCAGTCTAAAAAAGAAAATTTTTGAGTGCTTGTGTGAAGTTGACTATAACAGGTGTTTCTCAACTCCCTTAGTCTATCTTTCGAAACTTCTTATTCATTTAAACCTCAGACTTTGTTTTTTGCTTGAATTTATTAATTTTAATTTCATTTGACTTGATTCAGTGAGGTGAAAGATTCATCTTGTCACAAAGTCTTCGTCTTGACAACTACAGTGGAGCAAACACCGAAATGTCAAGTCTTCGATCGATGTCACATTTTGAATGCAATATATTCATAAAGCCAAGAATTTTAACCAATTACTTTAGCGGAATAGCTTAGATAGCTGAAGGATCCATCTCATCACAAAGTCTTTGACTTGACAACCACAGTGGAGTAAACACCGAATCTCCAAGTATCCAATCAATGTCATGGTTTGAATTGTAACATATTCATAAAGCCAGGACTTTTGAGTTACCTCTATAATCAATTTCTTTAGCAGAATAGCTCAGCTTTATTACATATATAATTATATAATTACATTAACTTCCTGGGTATACGGATTGGATTTCTTAAGCTTATCAAGAAGAACTTGTTATAGTCTAAGTGTCGTTGAAGGTCAGGAAATTTTTATCCTTATAATTCAATTCCCAAGCAACTAACCTAGACTAAATTTATTTGTTTCACTATTCTATCCGTGAAGATTATGATCATCATTGAACGTCCTCAATAAAAGAAAAAACTAACCAGCTTTGTAACCTCATATGCAAAATTCCCCATTTTGTCCACTCTATACATGCCTGAATTCCAAGCCCTTTGATAATCTCTTCGTGAGAGGAGAAGACTATGTCGGTCCTTGCAAGAAAAGGGTATGATGTTCGGGTGTATCTACTGGAGAATGATCAAGGGTCTTTATTTACAAGGGTTTAATCTTACCGCTTGCCAAAAGGCTATAACTTTGATTATCAAGAGAGCATCTACTTCAGTTGATATTTAAAGAATTTCAAGATTAAAATTTGCTCATTGTTTATAACTTCAGAAGGTAGTATTTTATTTAACATGTTAAAAAAAAGGTTCATTGACTCACAAACTTCTAAACAGAGGAAAAGGAAAGAAAAACAAGTTCAAACAATATGAAATGTCTCTTTTATGCAAGTGAAAAAAGCTTCATGGTACATTCAAATGACTTTTTTCTTGATCAGAATGCTTATCGAATGTCAATGCCCCTGGATCAATCAGATTTTGGACCTTACTCTTCAGTACCCTGCATTTATCAGTTGTGTGCCCCGAGCTTCCTATATGGTAGTTACACACCGTGTTGACATCATAGCCTTCGGGATATGATGTAGAGAATGTAGCAAATGCATGTAGTATAGTTTAGTTATTAGTTTGACACTAAGCTTATGAGCTTAGATTTCAAAATTTGTTTCCGTGTGCAGGTTCATATGACAAGCATTCGAGGAGATTATCGCGCGGTTTGCATTCTAGATAGATCCAAGCATTAGAGTATGCCTTGATTCTTTCTTAGAGGGCATATACTATGTATGGACATTCATGTATTCGAGTCGCAACTTTATTTTGAAATGCTCATTTAGGAACAATTGGGATGTATTTTTGTGAGTTTTCCGTATTTGTAACCTAAGCACCATGTTCTTATTTTATTTTTATGATTATGATGGATGATTTTTATATAATGTTTACAAGTATTTTAAAAGAAATTTTTTGGGTTAGCCACTCCAGTAGTCTCGTGTAATGTGCTAATCCATCGATCTCTAGGTCGTGTTGGATTAGGATGTTACACTTTTCACCTTTCAACAATCTTCATTTTGGAAGAATTTACAAGGATTCTTCACCATCATGTCCCAACAACATATGTCATAACAAGGTTAGATTTGATTTGTCTCCCTCAGAAGTTGCTACTACTGCTCCAATAATTGTACTACCTTGGTAGTAATACAAGCTATTTTTCTTAGTCTCCTCATTATCACCAATGCACTAAATGTGACTTTTAAAACTTCATCTCTCATAGTGATGACTAAGCCTTTAGATTCTAAGGCTCACAATGAGATGAGATTTTTCTTCAAATCGATCACATATTAAACGTCAATCAAAACTCTATTTGATCCATCTTGATTGTTAAATCAAATTAAACCTATCCCAATAGTTTTATAGGCATTGTCACTGCCCATATAGACAACTCCTCCATTTAGTTCTTCTAGATCAGAGATCCACTTCCGATTAGGGGACATATGAAGGGGTAACTCAAATCTAATATATACCGATCTGAATGAAATATTGATGGTGAAGCTGCTTTTCTTTTCTTCTTCATCTTTGAGCAATTTTTCTTCCAATGATCTTTCTCATGACAAAAGGCACATTCATCTTTACCAAGTTTGGACTTTGACTTTGATTTCCCTCTTCACTTTGACTTTTGTCTTTTCGAGCGACCTCTTGCCACCATGGCCTATGTTGCATTATACTTTCTCTCTACCTCGGTTTTCTTTCTAATCTCCTAACTATACAAACTAGCAGTTACACCTTTAAAGCATACTTGATTCTTTCCATGAAGTAATGTTGTTTCAATGTGCTCAAATTCATCTGGAACTGATGACAACAACTAAAGTCAAACCTTAGTCTTTGAAAATTTCATCCATGTCTAATAATTCTGACACTAACTCATTAAAGACAATGATGTGTTCATTTATATTAGGTGGATGGGTAATAATCAAATATGAACAATCTTTTGTTCATGCAAAGATGATTCTGAGAGTCTTTTTTAGGAAATTTTCCTTTAATGCTTTTCACAGTTTACTTACATAAGTCTCATTCTTGTAATTGTACTTCTGCTCCCTAAAAGGACAAAATCGAATCGTATTGCATGCCATACAATTGATTGTTTTCTAATCTTTCTCCACCATATCAGTAAGTTTTTCTTGCTTAATGGCGATGTCTAGATCTTGTTGAAATAAAGTGTCCATCACATCACCTTATCACATGCAAAAATGACTATATCCATGGAACAACTCCATAGAGAACTTGATACCCCATATGATCCGTCTTTTTCCATTGCAACGAACAATATTCAACGGCATAAAATAGATACTAAAAACAATGCAACAGGTGACATTGGGCTTACAGTGCTACTAGCGCCTTCATTACATAGGGATCCAAAAAATTATTCGACGTCAATCAAGATTTATGATGATATTGATATAAGAAAAATGTCTGGAAATCCAAAATGATGTAGATACTGTAAAAGGTCGGATCATAATAAAAAAAATGGTCAACTTAGCATCCCTAAATGGACCGTAATATTTAGATAATTCATTGTATTTGAATGATATATTTTTAACATGAAATTTTATTAAAATCAAATTATTCTTAATATATCTCATTTTATATAAAACAAGTTTACTATATATTAATATTTATTTAATTAGCATATGAATAAAACTTGAACCATGAATTCTAGTTTTAATCCTAAAATCAAAATCATAAAACCCTATAATTAAACTTCGAAACGTAGTTTGCTAGTTAAGATACTCATAAAGACACACTTGTCAGTCGTGTCTTTCATTTGAACCATTAACATAATTTTTCAAATATTGATTGAATGTGTCTTTTCCCTAGTAACACGTTCGATTATTAAATTTATTTGTTGGCGATACCATTTACTACGTTACGGGCAGATTGTTCAAGTAATATTTTTCTTCTTTTGCTGATGTTGGTTTTGGTACCTGCATACATATGGGAAAATAAGAGGAAGGCATGGTCACTTTTTATGGAAATTTATTGGTCATAATACCGAGTCAACCCTATCTTAAATGGATAAAAGTATAGTATTTACTCATTACAAGAAGCATATACAGCACCATTACTAAGGTGAAATGCAGACTATTATACAACAATTCTAGAAAACTATCAAATCAGGTTTAGGTGGAAGGTTAGTTAAGGTGATGTCACAAAGTGCTACTGGAACTGGAAGAAATCGTCACTTTCCATATCATAAATATCACCTATAGATGTTGATTCTACTTGTTCACTTGTGTTGGACAGTTTAGCCTGCAAAGAACAATAGAAGAGATTCAGAATTATAATCCGACTGCAAAAGAAGTTTGAAAGCAATTAACATATCTTTCAAAGTAGTCGGTCTACTTACCTTAGCTTCACGATATCTTTCAAGCATCCGGCGATATTGTTGACGTGCATCCGGGGAATCAACCATAGACAACACGCGTGAAACAGCCTCATCAACAGCTCCATCCACTTTCTGCTTGCGGAACACTTTGAGGATGTCCTCATCTTCACTTTCACCAATGGGATCTGGTTCACCTCGAAAACCTCGCAAGCCAACACCTTTACGTCGCCAGCGCAGTACTACCTTATCTAGAACACCAACAGCCCAACAGATTACTCTGTAATTCTTCCTGACTTGATAACCTCTCACATGAGCCTGATACAAAAGGCAAAGTCAAGGATTTTGAAACATTCCATCTTATACACCAACCAGATACCTAGGATTTGAAAGGGGGGAGAAGAATATTTGTACAACTCTCGGGCGAAGTACTGGGATGTTAATACCTGTATTTTTACAACTTTACGGCGAAGCGCTAGAAAATCTTTGCGACCTTTCCAACCTCGAAATTTCTTCTGAATAGATAAAGCCGCTGAATTGTAATCACGGGAATTTCGAAAAGCTAGCTTTGGCACAATTGGAAGACCTTCAATTTCATCTGAACAGATACCGTAGTCATTTAAACTAGCAGCAGCAACTTCTTTCTCTTGTCGTTTCCTGAAAGAATGTGCTCGGAAAGCATTTTGTATACGTGCAGCGGCCTGAGCTGCATTTCGGACAGCAGCCAAGGTATCTTTAAGTGAAAGCTGATCCTCACTGTTGGCAAAGCTCCCCTTTGAGATGCTATTCACAGCCATTTCAGCCTGAAGTGCAGCTGTTCCTTTGGAAAGCTCACTTTCTTCAAGTGTAAGGGATGAAAGATGACTAGTCAGAGCTACCTCTGAAAGATAACCTGCAAGTCCTTTATGTCCCCAGGAGGCAGCAATTGAGGCCGCAGTTTGGCCAGTCAGGTCTTGTGAGGTAGGATCTGTCACAGCCCCAGACGAAGCACCGGAGGCTATAAGAGCAGCAACCATTTTTTCTCTGTTTAAGAGGGAGGGGGTGGGGGATTTCACACAATTAATCAGTTTGATTCATCAATGCAATTTTAGTCTTTAAAAGTTATAATCTTGATTACCTTCCAAATCGAGCAGCCCAATGGAGCGCAGTCCACCCATTGATGTCTCGGAAATTTATACTGATTCCAGAGTTTAAAATTGCATTTAAGGCCCACTCAAAGCCCAATCCAGCAGCCATGTGTATTATTCCTTGCTCCTGCTTTGACTTGGTGCAGCCTGACGGATCAAGTGTTTCATTGGATCTAGAGCCTAACCATTGCTGCAACTTGTCCTTTAAAAGCTCTTGCAGAAGCCAATCAACAGTACCAGAGGAAGTCCCACTCCCAATTAGAAGAGCCTCTATGGCATTATTCCATGAATCATCATCAGCTTTGAACTTTCTTGGAAGATTTATTCCTGACTCGATGCTGTCTTTCTGCAAAGAGGAATCCGATAGAAGCACCTGTACGAATCTGACAAGTAACAATAGCTCTTCTGGACTTTTAGAAGCTTCTGTGTTTGGTAAATTACACTGAGAGCATCTACTAGTATTAACTCTATACTCGAACTCTCTGATTTCACTGCATGATTCTCTGTTGCTGCTAGTGATGCAGAGTGTGACCTTCCCAGGAAGATGAGGAGGAGCTTTGCAACAGATAACACCATCCTGAATGATCTCAAGAGGAACTTCAGTCTCACCAAACATACATGCCCAGGTGGATTCAGATGGATCACAGAGAAAAGATCCAACAATGATAACCTACACGTGGAAATTATACTTTAAAAAATTTTACGCTTTAACAGAAACAGTAAAGTCAAAGGAGCTCACGAAACAATAGAGTTTCAGTGACAAGCAATCCTTGACTCACCTTCGTAACCTCACTGGTATAACCCCACTCCGGAGAAATTTCTTGAATTGTGAACTTCTGCTTCTGTCGAACAGTTAAGCTTGGACCTGTTACAAGAGGAATTCCAATTTTGTCTTGGTTTAATATCTTATCAAAATCGGAAACAGTTCCAAAATCTTGTACTGCAGCAAGACCTGGAGGGATTTCAACATTTTTAACTTCTTGATGCTGAAATACAGAAGCTGGCAGAGAAAGAAAAGGTCAGACCTTAACAAAATAAACTAGATACTTGAATTTCTAGTGTCAAAATTACTGTCAAGAGCAGGAGATCATACAGTCGTTGAAGTTAGATGCGTTGAAATTCAGCCAACCAGACTGTTCCCGATGCTCGGCTTGTTCTTTCCTTGAAGAAGATAAAGGCTTTCCCTGTTTAAGGACAAACAAATTCTCCTTATAGCAGGGGAAAATATTATTGGTCTCATACTGGTCAGGAACCCACGTTTAAGAAGGGGAGTTACAGTAGGCATGGGAACCCCAGATACTGCAATATAACCTTGGCTAAAATGTGATTGAGAATTGAATACACATAAAAGGGCATACAACAACTTATTATTCAGGTATTGTTGCTTTAAGCTCGTAGAGCAATGAAATATGTGGTTGGGAACAAATTCGCTGGATCAGACAAGAATTTTTACCTTGTGGCAAGTAATATACGGTACATGACCATTAACATGCAGATAGTAAAACACTTGCCATTCTTTGATATTTATGAGAAAAACTGTCAATCATGCAGGGGGTGTGTCAAATATGGATGTATCGAACACACGTGTGTTTAATTTTTTTCTAAAGTATTTCCATGTAGTTGGACGACCATATTTCCAAACTCGTGTAGAAAAATGTGTCAGACATAGGTGTCAAATATAAGTAATTAGAGAAAAATAAAGTCGGAGCCACATAGAGAAGTATTTACCTGGGAGTAAACACCTGATTGATTCGTGTATGAGTCTAATACACTGTTCCAATATAGAGATTCCTTACTTCCATCTGAATTGTCTTTGCTATATGCTTGACAATGTTCACCATAATTACCTACAGAGAAATAGTAGCAACTCTCATCAGCTTCCTCATTACATACATCATATTTAAGAATCAATCAAGAAAAACAGAAACAGAAACAGAGGTTAGCCATTAAACTCAATAACTGTATGTCCTTATGATGTAAAAACAAACAACAGCATACTGCACTTATAAATGCAGTTGACCAACAAAAATTAAGAGAGAAAAAATCGGTTGTGGCTTGTTTGGTAACAATGTTGTTCTTTCCCTCAAATGACAAGGGTTTGAGTCTCTGCAAGAGCAAAAAGGGTTACACAAATGATAATGCCGTTGGTTGCTGGGCAGCCCTTCCATAGACGTGGCCAGGGTTCAAGGGTATGTGAGTTCAAACTATAAGAAATATCAAGAGATAAAAGTTCGTCTTTCACCTCAACAAATTGCTTTTTTCTGGATAGTTAACCAAATATTTAAGAACCTACTTCTAAGTCCACCAAATCAAAAGCATCTTCATGCGACTGCTAAAGATAAAAAATTGACAACTTCAACAAACTGATTTTGACATTTTTTATGACCAAAGAAATAACAAATATACAGACCTCCATCGGAAAGCAGCGAGAAACTATTTGAATAATTTTCGACCCTAGCAGGTTGAGAATGAAGGCAACCTTGAGCAACATCACGAGGCTCATACAATAGATCTGCTTGTTGATCAGGCTTGGCAATCTCCCTTTCATATTCCAGAAATTTTGACTCATCTCTATCCCCATTGAGGCTGCAGAAAGGACTCACCTCTTCGAAGCTGTCCTCAGTCAAACTTAACTGCTCCTCAAGCCTCTTTAAAGCTTCTCTAGTAACTATATCAGAGCTAACTTCAACAGACCCGGGACTAGACAAGTTCTGATATGTTTCGTCTAGATCATGGGCTAGAGTGTTGGATCCAGGATTTTGAGAAGTATAAGAGTTGGGACTTGTACTTAAGATTGAGGAGGATACTGGTGACTGCACGATGGATGCCGGAGTAGATTTGGCCTGTATACAATTATGAAGAATGACACTAGTTTAGAAGTTAAAAGTATGTTAAATTCTCATGCTGAACGGCATGAATTCATAACAGACACTATCAGCCACAGAGTAAGTAAATTAAACCAAAAATGCTCAGAAACCTAGCTTAGAGAAAGCACACGGGGCTCAAATGGATAAATTCATAAAGGGATGGTGTGAAATACCTCATTTGTCTCTCTATAATGAACAAGAACAATATGCTCATATGCCCTGCCAGAGTACTAAACTATTAGCAAATATTTCATATATGTACAGCGACAAAGTTCGATAAATAAATAGACTACGAAGCAAACTTACGGGTCCAGCATCCAATAGCTACGTCTCTGAAAAGTGGGGTTCTGCTCGCCATGGGCATAGTAACAATTGAGAGTTTCTGCATTTCCAACCTGATCATGCATATAATACATTGCAATTCTCAGAGCTCCATTGATATTAGAACAATCAAAATGGATTCAACATTTAACAAAACATAGCTCATTTCAAACGAATCAATTAGATAATATTTCAACAATATGATAAGTTCCCAGAATTTCCAGGGGGCTCCTTCATTTTCTAAATAACCAAAAAACACACATTTTTTTTCACAAATTTGAAAGGGAGAATCTGAGGAAACCTTAAGCCTTTCATGGGCTTCACCGACAGCTTTTCCATCCTTCTTTTTACGCCAACTGTGACCATCTTTACGAAAGAAACGAAGAACCCTCTTGTTGAAAAGATACAAAGAGCCACCTAAAACACGTCAAAAATACTAATTAAAAATGGCGATTTTAACGAAATTTAAAATGAAAAAGTTGAAAACGATTTACTTGTTGGCTTTTGAGGCGGCGCATCCGTGAGTTCATATTTTTCATGATTTTGTAGGATAAACAGAACTTCTGCCGGCTTCAACCACCGGGATTGAGCTTCTCGAAATAAGCTATTAACATCATAACCTGAGATAATCATTATTAAAGCCCTAAAATCAGATTTAATCTATCTTCAAACAGTAAAGAGAGAGATCCAAAGAGTTGAAAAGAGAGTGTTGCTTTGTTTACCTGATTGAGCCATTTTCTTTTGGATTCCTAGAACAAACACCCCAGCTAACAATTAGAGTAAAAGACAGGATATTTTGAACTGGTGCCGGCTGCAACTTGGATTAAAATTGCCGGCTGCGGTGTTGGAGATTTTTTTTTTTGGTGTTGGGGGGGCTCCTCTTGGGAAATGACTAAATTATTGGTCCCCTCCCCTGTCCTTGTCTATGCTTTCATCATATACACATCTTTAATGTAACATTGGAAAAATGTAACCCCACCCGTTTTAGTCAATGACACATATTATTTGAACAATTCAAACAAATTTATATTATATCATTTTAATTTTAGTAATTATTAAATGATTTTAAAATTATGTAAAAATTATGACTGATTAAGTTTAATATTTTAAATTTAGAGTCCGTTTTGATATTATAATTAGTTTTTTAAAAAATGATTGTAAAATAAATTATATTTTGTTAAAAATAATTTTTGGTGTTATGTAAATCATCTTATATTGATTGGTAAATTTTCATAAAAATTATTTATAAAAAGGTATCATATTAATATTAAATATCTAAAATAATATTATTTTGTATGTTTATATTTTAAAATAAAAAATTGTTAGAAGTAGAAAGTTTGTTATTCTCCGTAACTAATTAGCAGTTAGTTAGTTAGGCTGAATTTGTATATATATTTGTATTGACTTGATACATTTAATTAATAAGAAGTATTATTCATTCCAAAATTTTAACATGGTATCAGTTTACAGGTTTTTCATTTTTGGGTCTTCTGTGTGGCCCATCTTTCGCTGAGCACTAAGGCCCGCTTTCTTGCTTCCATCGCTTTCTCCCAAATCAGATTCCCATCCTTTGCTAAGGTTCATGGCTTTCCCTATTGATTCCAATCATCCCATATTTTTGCATCCTTCAGATACGCCTGGTATCCAATTGGTCTCGCATCAACTCACGGGCTACGAAAATTATGTTATCTGGAGTAGATCAATGCGTATTGCGCTCCTCGCCAAGAACAAGCTTGGTTTCGTGGATGGAACCTGTCGAAGAGAGGATTATGACGAACCGTTGCAGCCTCAGTGGGAACGATGCAATGCTCTTGTGCTCTCGTGGATCTTGAACTCTGTAAGTCAAGATTTGTCAGCTGGGATCGTCTTTTCCTCGAATGTAGCAGATGTTTGGAGAGATCTCAAGGAAAGGTTTGATAAAGTTGACGGTTCTAGAGTTTTTTTTTCTGCATCGTTTTATTGCTACACTTATTCAAGGTGACTCTTCAGTCTCGGTGTATTTTACTCGTCTCAAGCTCTTGTGGGACGAGTACACTTCTTTTGTCCCTTATTCTTTCTGTGAGTGTGAGGTTTCACGACAGAACTCTGATCATGTGGCACAACAACGTCTTTTTTAATTTCTGATGGGTCTTAATGAGACTTACTCTGCCATTCGGAGCCAAATTCTCATTATAAAGCCACTTCCCACTGTTAATCAGGCGTATTCAATGATCATTCAGGAGGAATCTCACCGAATTCAGCTGAGTAGTGCACCCATCGAATCCTCTGTAATGCTCTCGGCTATTTCTAAAGGGAGTGATAGAAGGCGATTTACTGGCACCTGTGAGTATTGCAAGGTCAAAGACCATAGTCGTGATCGCTGTTATCGCCTTATTGGTTTTCCGCCGGATTTCAAGTTCAGTCGAAAGAAGACTCCTCAAGCTGCCATGGCAGTTACTTCGGTGCACACTGCTGATGGAGAGACTGCAACTGAATCGATGGTTTCTTCTTCTATTTCGACTGTGCCTGCGTTTACTACTGAGCAATACAATCAAATTCTCAGTTTGTTAAGTAAGAATCCAGCTCCAGATTCCAGTGTGAATCTTGTAGGTACTGTTAATTATGGTTTACCTGCTTCTAATGGCTTGTGCATTCGCTGGATTATTGATACTGGTGCCACTGACCATATTTTATCTGTTTTCAAGGGTTTACAATTTCCTGTTTCATGTTCTTCCCCTCGTTATGTTCATCTACCAAATGGCCAAATTGAACTAGTATCACATATAGGTTCTTAGGTTAAACTCTGATTTAGTTCTTTCTAGTGTCTTGTTTGTTCCTAGCTTCTCTCACAATTTGATCTCTGTCTCTTGGCTTGCTAAAGATCATGCTTGTATTGTTTCTTTCTATCCTGACATTTGCATCTTACAGGATCTTTGCACTGGCATGATCAAGGGGATTGGTAGAAGATTTAATGCCTTTATATTTTTGAGTCTAAATGAGCTACTGGTTTGTTTTCTGATTCTTTAGTTCGTTCTGAGCATGTTGCTTCTGCTTGTTCTATTCCAATTGTTTCCATTTCTAATAAAATTGGTATTTGGCATGCTAGATTTGGGCATGCTTCTGTTTCATCTATGCGCAAATTATCTCCTTATGTTTATGATAAACTTGATTTAAATATTATCCATTCTTGTGATATTTGTCCTTTAGCTAAACAAACCAGGCTGCCATTTCCTATTAGTTTTACCAGATCCTCAACACCTTTTGAATTAATTCATATAGACTTATGGGGTCCTTATAGGATTTCCACTCATAGTGGTCATAGATACTTTCTGACTATTGTTGATGATTGCACCAGAATGACTTGGGTTTACCTCTTGAGAGTTAAGAATGATGATGTTTTGTTCCTTAAACAATTTATCTCCTTTGCTTCTACTCAGTTTTCTTCTGTCACTAAGATTGTTAGAAGTGACAATGGTACAAAATTTTTCAACTCTCATTGTACTCCTTTTTTCTCAACTCTTGGTGTTTACATCAAAGTTCCTGTGTTCAAACTCCACAGCAAAATGGAATTGCAGAAAGAAAGCATAGGAATCTTTTAAAAGTAGCTAAAGCTTTACGTTTTCAATCAAAAGTGCCAATTAAATTTTGGGGTGAATGTGTTTTAACAACATGTTTCATCATAAACAGACTTCCTTCTTCTGTTTTACAGTGGAAAACTCCTTATGAAATGCTTTATCACAATCCCCTTGATTTGTCCATTCTTAGAGTTTTTGGTTGCCTGTGTTATGCCACTAATGTCAAACCAAATGATAAATTTGCCCATAGGGCCTTACCTTCTGTTCTAATGGGATACTCTAATACTCAAAAAGGGTATCTCTTGTTTGATCTTACTTCTAAAAAATTCTTTGTTAATAGTGACGTTGTTTTTCATGAGGAGATATTTCCATTTCCTTTTCCCACTCAAATAGAGTCTTTTTTTTCCGTCCACTCCTATCATTCCTGATTCTGAGTTTTTGGTTCTTTCTTTTGGTCAACAAACTACTCATACGGTCCCTTCTGATTCTGCTCCTTATTCTACATCTGACACTGGGCAATCATCACAACAGTTAGCATCTTCAATAGATTCAGTAGCTCCAGTTTTGGTTAGGAAGTCTACTAGGATTTCTAAACAACCCCAATGGTTGAATGATTTTGTTTGCAATTCTGTTTCAACTTCTACCTATCCTATTTCAAATTTTGTTTCTTATGTTCATCTTCCTGCTGCTACACAATCCTTCATTTCCTCTATTTCACATCCTGTTGAGCCTCACTCCTATCATGAGGCCATTCACTATCCTAAATGGGTAAAAGCTATGAAGGATGAAATTTTTGCCCTTGAAACAAATAAAACCTGGTCAGTTGTTCCTTTACCTAAGGGAAAAGTTCCTATTGGATGTAAATGGGTTTATAGAGTTAAGTGCAATGCGGCTGGTGCTATAGATATATTTAAAGCTCGATTGGTGGCCAAGGGTTATAGTCAAAGAGAGGGTGTGGATTATGTGGATACCTTCTCACCAGTGGTCAAAATGGTTACTGTTCGATTTCTTCTCGCCATAGCTTCTGTTTATGGTTGGCCTTTGTTTTAACTTGATGTATATAATGCCTTCTTGCAAGGTGATTTGTTTGAGGAGGTATATATGGAACTTCCACCTGGTTTTTGCAGTTAGGGGGAGAATAAGGTGTGTAGACTGAAAAAATCCCTTTATGGGTTGAAACAAGCATCCAGACAATGGAATTTGAAGCTAACTGAGGCTCTTTTAGGGGCTGGTTATGAACAAAGTAAGTTTGATTATTCTTTTTTCACAATGAAGAAGGATGACAAGATTGTAGTTTTGTTGATCTATGTTGATGATTTGTTGATCACTGGAAATGATAATTGTTTGATTGATGACTTAAAAAATCTTATGAACAAGAAATTTAAGATGAAGGACCTTGGTGAGTTAAAGTATTTTTTGGGTCTCGAGGTTATGAGATCAAAAGAAGGAATTTTAATCAATCAGCGCAAGTATGCCCTTGAATTGATTGAGGAAACAGGTGTAAGCGGCTCAAAACCAGCAAAGACACCTCTTGAGCAAAATGCAAGGCTCACCACAACAGAATATGATGAGTTAAGCACTAAAGAGAGTAATGGAGTTGATGAAAAGTTACTAGTAGACAAGAGTGTTTTTCAAAGGCTCATTGGAAGGCTAATTTACCTCACACATACCAGACCAGATATATGTTTTGTTATACATCACTTAAGTCAGTTCATGCAACAACCAAAAGAATCTCATTTGCAATCATCATTGAGGATAGTGAGGTATATCAAAAGGAATCATGGTCAAGAAATTCTGATGGATTCAAGTAGTAGATGTGAACTTAAGGCATTTTGTGATTCAGACTGGGCAGCATGTCTTAATTCAAGGAAGTTTGTTTCTGGTTTCTGCATCAAGCTTGGGAGTTCATTGATTTCATGAAAATCTAAGAAGCAAAATAATGTGGCCAGATCTTCTGCTGAAGCAGAGTACAGAAGCATGGCAACTACTGCAGCAGAACTGACTTGGTTAAATGGCTTAGCTAATGAGCTTGGGTTAGAAAATAAATGTCCAATCAAGTTGTATTATGATAACAAGGCTGTTCTTTAGATTGCAGCAAATCCAGTGTATCATGAACGCACAAAGCACATAGAAATTGATTGCCACTTTGTGAGAGAAAAGATACAAGAGGGACTCATCAAAACATAATTTGTGCATTCTTCAGAGCAATTGGTTGATTTGTTTACTAAGGCCTTAGGAGTACAACAATATGAATATCTTGTATCCAAGTTGGGGGGTAAAGGATATCTTCTACCCACCAACTTGAGGGGGAGTGTTAGAAGTAGAAAGTTTGTTATTCTCTGTAACTAATTAGCAGTTAGTTAGTTAGTTAGGCTGAATTTGTATATATATTTGTATTGACTTGATACATTTAATTAATAAGAAGTATTATTCCTTCCAAAATTTTAACAAAAATATTTTACTGAAAATCGTAACGTAAAACATTTGATAAAAATATAAAGAAATTATAATAATAAATTGCATTAATAAGAATCAACTACAACAATCAAATACCGAAAAACAAAAGAAAATCTCTATGATTCATTTTCATGCTATTAAACACATCCTTAAATAAAAGTATATTGAAGCAAAATAATTTTAGGACGAGAGGTGTATGGGTTTGGAGAAAGCAGTGATCAGAGTCCGGAACTCGAGGATAATGTGCTGAATATTTGAAGAAATATTTCTAAATATAAAAAAAGCACGTGCAAAAGGTGGTGGTTTCTGCCTGGCGTCTGCACCTAATTTCTGCATATTCCTGGCTAATCATAAATAAATAACTAAATTGTGAATTGAAATAAAAATAAAATCCAACCATTAACAAGTCCACCCAACATAAAAGAGAACAGAAGAAATAATAGCGGTGGATAGTTTTCACACTACATTTATTATATTAATTCTTATAGTCAAGGGGTAATTTTTGTTGAATGTATGCATGTTTCTCTCTGCGTGGAAATGGTATAACTTTGATCTCTACTCTCTATTTGTCGTTTTTAAAGTGTTTCGACCTGGTACATGCATGCCCACTCACAAATCTTAGATACCGCGTAATTATACCTTTCAACTCCCATTCCATATTTAATCCTTAAAATTGGTAATTTAAGTTGGGGTCTGGTCCCATCTATAGGGTATTGTTTTGTTGAATATCGCGATTATTAAAAGTTATAAAATAATCTTCCAACTATAGGGCCGTTGTTTTGTTGAGTCCATCGACTATTAAAAGTTACAAGATGGTCGTCCAACCATTCATATTGTTCCAAATTCATCTTTTTTTCGTTAAAGATTTTATTACCGTTTGAGCTGGGCGTTAAATTGTTGATTAAGATATGAAAAAATCATATTTAAATGATATTTATTGACACCGTCGTTACTTTCAAACACTAACTCGACAATATAATATATTTTAAGCACTGACTCGATAGCATAATGTAAATGGAGAGTCGATCCATAATGTAAATGGAGAGTCGATCCATAAAATACAACTCAAATGATTCTAGAATCATATTTTATCATATCTCAGTCAACATGTTAACATCTCAGATGAACATCATTTTTTTACGAAAAAAGACGATTTTGGAACATATGAATAGACGAGCGATCATTTTATAACTTTTAATAGTTGGGTGACTCAATAAAATACCATGTAATTGGGGACCTATTTGTAACTTTTAATAATTAGGAGACTTAATAAAGTAACATCTTATAATTATAGGATATTTTTGCACTTTACCCTTTAAATTGTCTTTTAATATTTTTAATTGAGTAAAGCTTATATAATTTTTAAATAATAATAATAATAATAGTTTAATTTAAACCTTTGTGACGTTTAGTTTTACTTTCAAAATTTTATATTTTATATTCTAAAAGTTAAACAGCTTGAACTTATTATATCTCGGTGATAAAAAATGATATTATTCTCTCTAAAAATGATGTGTTTGAACATCGATTTTTATAGAATATATATTTATAAATCAATTAAAAAATTATGAACGAATATTCTCATATAAACATCAAAATTATTAAAGAAAAAAGAATTGAAGCTAATTGGAAATTGCTGGGTGAATTACTTGGTAATGGGAGACAAGTCAATGTTATAATTGATGTTAGGAAAATACTATAGTAGCCTCTCATGATAGTGGCTTTGCCTTCCTTACTATTTGGATGGCAAAAGACAAAAGGTGCAATCTTTTTCTTTGCATTGGACCATGTCTAGTGTAGTGTCCCATCTCCTTACGGCTCAAACTGCATTTATATGAGAAATTATTTAATACATAAATTTTACAAAGTTAAATTTTGTAAATGATTTATTTTTAATATTAAATGTTAAAATTTAAAATCTTAAATATTAAATCTTAAATATTTAAATTTTAATTTTTAAATGTAATTGAACAAATAATATTAAAATAAATAGAATGATATAAACTGATGTAAAATAAAAATAGTAAATCAATAAGAAGAGATATAAAAATAACAAGAGAAATATATATTATTATCTCAAGAAGAAGAAGAAATATAAGACCAATTTTTTTTTTTGCAATTCAAGTCATATTTTATATCATACGGCTATTTATTTTATTTGACTTACATTACACTTTAGGTGTTTAGACTATTTTGCCATGTTTTAAAAATTGATTTAACTTCACTTGAATAACGATTTTCTATTTTGACCAATCATTTTTATAATATTACTCTTTGATAGATTTAAGTTCAAGATCCTCATTTTATTTTTTATTTATATAAAAATATTATTTGTAAAATCATTTTCGATAACTTTTATGTTTCGGTTCCAATCTTTTCTTGTAATAACATAACTTATCAAGACATTTTCATTATCTTTATTATTAGTTATGTCTTAGCTCTCTATAAGAACATCTATCTCCAATGTATGATCATCATATACTACTTTTTATTTATGAGAATTATTATTATTAAAACCAATTCAACTGTCATACTCCAGATAAAGCTTTTTCTCTCTAGTCGTTTGTAATACCCCAAAATTTTGGCTAGTGATCAAAATGAATAAATTGAAAGTTTATTGACTAAATTATAATCTTTGGAAATGTTTAAGGATTAAATTTTAATTTTTAAAAGTTTGTAATTTAGTCTTGTAAATGAATAGTTATCCCCAAGAATGACATTTTCGTGTCACTCGGATTTTTCGTACAGAGTTTGTATTAAAAGCTATAAAACGATAAAGTTCGAGAGAACATAATCAAATCGAATTCAATATTCAAGATATTTTGAAGCATTATAAGGAAAGGTTAATAATGTCATTTTCATGCCTTAAAATGGTAGGATTTAATATGTACCATTGGATTTAAGTTGATTTTCTACATTTAATCCTTGGATGAAAAATGATAACATCGTAAATTTGAGGTTTTTCAAGGACAAAGTTGGTAACTACTAACTTATTGGTTTATTTTTTACCTTTGGATGAATAATTTGACATGGGAAAAGTTCATGAACTTGTGATTATAAGGGTAAAATGGTAATTTATCATTAAAATGAATTAAAATGAATTAAAATTCATTTTAGTTAAATAAATGACAAATGACTTATAGTTTTTACATAAAATTTTCAAGATTTTTATTCATCATCGTAGTAATTGACGTGAGCTCTCATAAGGTAAAAGAAATTTTTTCTTTATGATTTTGAAGGCAATTTACTAGGAATTTCGAGGAAAACATAAAACACAAAATTGATCTAAATGAAATTCCCTATCATTTTGTACCATTTGTTATGTTTTTCATGCTTGAAACCCTAAGTTCTTGATTTGGGAAGATTAAGGGGATATTAGGTTTTGATGTTATGATTCTTTATTATTGTTGCGTGATTTGAGTGGTTTGCAATTGGTGCAAGTGTACACATCACAAGTTATAATATAGAATAGATATCCTCTCCAAAAAGATTGGTGTAACTCTGTGTTCTAACCTATTGCACTGTAAAGAGGATAAATCGGAGATAGTAGGAGTTTGAATTAACGAGTAAAATAAAAAAAATTATGATCGAATAAGAGAGCATGTCGGGTTATCGTGAGTTGCAATGTGATAACTGTTTGGATAGTTTGGGTAGTTTATTGTTGAAGTAACTCGATTGCTATGACAATTGAAAAATGATTCAATTTTCGTAGCAACAGGGTTTTCAATGTCTTCTTGTTATCCCTAACCTGAATAACGTGTAATACCCCAAAATTTAAATAAAAGAAAGTTGAGGACTAAATTATAAATTTTTAAAAGTTACAAATCGATTTTGGAACCTGTGGAAAATTTTAGGGTCCTAACCCTGAATCAAACTATTTTTTGGTTAGTGGAAAATAAACCCTCAGTCAAGCAAGCTAACCCCAATCCCCGAACCCATTTTCCCCAACAGTAACCTCCCACTGTCGACCACTACCCTTTGACCATCTGTAGCGGCTACCCACATTATTAGTAGAATCGATGGCGTCCCTCGAACCAACCCTGACCCTTAGAGTACCCGATCAACGACCGTTCGTGGAGAAGACGGGAGAAATTGTTCAAACTCTCATTCGTCGATTCTCCCTCCTCAGATTAGAAGTACATGTCACCGCTCGTTCCAGTGAAGACGTTGTCTCAGGCCGAGCAAAACCCCTTTTACAATTCATCGAGAGGAGCTTTCGTTAGCCATGGGGAGCGGTTCGAAGATCACCAGAGAAACTTGGGTAATTCCTCGGATTATTGCAAATTCCGACTGATCCAATTATCGTCTCGTCTCACCGCCCTTCCTATTGAGTTCCCTAGCTCTGTACGACAAAAACCCGATCAGGTTCATCTCCCATCGTCATCGTTTTCATCGATCATCAGTGTAGGTAAGTGTTTCGACCCTTTGTTTTATTTTTGATGGATTTTAGCTGATGTTGAGTT